GTGTGAAGTGCTTTGAGTGTCCTGGATGGATAGAAAGGTGCTATATAAGTACAGTCCATTTACCATTTACCTTCTCCTCTCTGTCAACGCTCTCTGGTTTCATTTAAAAGAGTCGATCATCAGATATTGTCCAAGATTAACCTTCAGGGTGGATATAGCTCGAGGACCTATCCAAGTCATCATTTACCCAGAATGCTTTGTGTGTAAATAAAATGGCTCCGTCCGTGTTAAAATATATTTTTAAAAATTTAAACAGCCTACAGTATTTTACAGTCTTTATTTTACAGTTAAAATATATGTTTATCAAACAAAGTCTAATGGTACAACTAATCAGGGATCCCTGCTGCTGCTTGTTCAGGGTGGTAGTGGCGATCAGGAGGAGGTTCCCTCTCCAGCTACAGACACCGTGGAGGTGATTCCTGGCAGCCAGCTGCTGTGGAGGATCACACCCAGACCAGCCAACTCCACCCAGGTCCTGCTGAGCCTCAGATGATCAGTTGTCCTAAAAGTTTTTTTGCATTTTAAAACCCCGTCTTATTGTTTMCCAACAGATGTACAGCTTCACATCGTTTGCCATGCAGCTGAACGAGCTGTACAAAGAGATGGAGGGAGTGATTCCTCCGACTGACTGCAGGCTCAGACCTGATATAAGAGCCATGGAGAACGGTGACATTGGTGAGGAGTATGTGTAAATAAACAGTCAGTAAATGTGCTCCAGAGGCCTATTGCCTGTTTAATCTAGGATAAGAGATTGAACTGGGCTTTTGGTGTAAATCTGAATTAATTAAGCCATGAACCGGTTGCATGGGAGGGGAAGCATTTTTTTTTTTCAAGTGGATCTTATTTAATCTTCTACGCAGTACACAGTCATTTTACTACAAAACCGGTTCATCTAACCAAGTCAGCAAAAATTTATTTTTGATCTTGTTTTGAGACAGATGTACAGTACTAAGCAAGATCAGAATATGTTGGATTATTGAAGTGCCTGTGACGTGCATATCCTTCAAATACAAAAAATCAAAGAAAACAAATTTGAATTTAAGTAACTTGACACAATACACAGGATTTTACCCATTTTCAACAAACCTGGCATCTTTTCTTTTAAACGTGGCTCAACCAAAGTGAAACAGGAAATGACGTCAAAGGGGAACTGTTTAATTAAAATGAACACTGTGGTCCTTGTTTATTAAAACTATTATTTGAACTCAGACTCTTCTTCATTTCTCTTTGATAATGTCTCAAAATAATTTAAAGAAAAATCAGATTCTCTACAGTCTATGTCAGGGGTCTGCTACCTTTATAATCAAAATAGACATTTCTGCTGCTTGGCTCACTAATAAAATGTGTCCAGAGCCAAAAAACAAGCTACAACTGCATTTATCAACTGGTGGTCCGTGGGCCTTTTCGAGGCCTGCTTGAGAACCTTTATGGCCAGTACAGGTGACATTATAAAACTAAAAAAATATACTGTGAATTTTATTATTTACTATTATTTTTACACATCAGGACGAATGGAAAGACCATTTTCATGTAAACAAGAAAAAAATATATAATAGTTTATAAAGAATTTCAGAAAAACTAGTACAACTGAACTATTCAGCCTTTTTTTTCTAATTCTTATTATTATGTAGTCGTCAAATTATTTAAAGGTAATTCTGATGGATTTAAGAGAAAGATCATAGAAAGAAGTTCACTTAAATACATAACAGGCTAGCATGTTTTACTTAGCATTGATCACATATTTGCATACAAATTGATTTTTGTTGTGGGTATTAAAAAACAAACAAAAAAAATTCTGTTATGTTTGGCCAGATTTTCGAAGAGCCACTGCTGAGGGACCAAAGAGCCACATGTGACCCCAGAGCCGCAGGTTGCAGACCCCTGGTCTACATATGTTGTTAGTCATTGTAGCGAAATCTCTGTTTACATGCTGACATTCCCCTTTGCCATCACTTCCTGTTACTTTCATATGCAAATATCTCAACAACTGTTCATCTCAGGGATGTGGATTTGTTTTTGGAAAACTGTATATTATCAATGTTATCCTTCAAAAAAATCATTCATACAGTGGGTTGTGAAAGTTTGGGCAGCCTTGTTAATTTTCTTGATTTACCTTTATAAATCATTGATTGTTTGGATAAAAAAATCTGTTAAATATTTCATTTCGGGGACAAACTCAGTGATATTTGAGAAG